TAATATTTAATTATGCTGATATTATAGGTGTGGATTTATTTCCTAATGGTAATAAAAGTACTGAAAGATTCTCTGACTATAGTTGCTCTTGACTAGGTGTGGGGTTCGGTATGGAATTGGTACTGTATGACACTTGTGAGGCTATGTATTTTGCTCATATTTAGAAAGGAAGTTGTCCTGGCGATGGGGTTTGTATATATGTTGTTTGTTCATGTTATATTGACTAGACAAGTTCAGACAGGGTTAATATTAGTGAATATTTACTGGATTTATATTTAATATACATGTTTTGAATATTTTATGGGAATAGTATGGAGATATACAAGTAGTAAAATATAATATTAATATTTTATAAATTTAATTATTGAGTTATATGTTTATGTCGGACTGTATCCAAGGAGATATTATCCTATTAATATCAAGTTAGGACAATTACTTTAAATATTAATAAAGCAAACACTAACACTGATTATTCACTTCTTTAATAAATTTACATTAGAGGTTAGGAATCAAATGGATAGCATATTGGGAAATCTTCACCACACATGTATTTGAGGAATGTTCTTGATAATTAGTACTGTATGTATATATTATTGCAAGTACAATTGCAATAAGAATGTTAAACTTCTAATCTTCTGTTCATTCTTGAATTTGAAGTAGGCTTGGCTTACTGATATGAATATAAAACTGCAGCATTACTGGATACTATTAATTATTTCTGGTGTAAACCATGATTATTTATGTCACTGATAATTTAGTTGTATATTACGGTTAATATATGATGATTTTATATTTAATTATATTAAACAAATACAAATAAACAAACTTGCTAGTATTTGTTACGTTGACAGTTGTGATAGATAATCAAAATTCAATTCAATACAGCAATACGTCATTCAATACGTCATTAATGTGACAGATGTCAAACAAAAGGAGATTATACACGTTATGATTCTATATCTAAGTCCATAGAAAATTTATATAATTTTCTGTTATTTTATAATAACTGTAGGGGAAATATTGGAATTATTTATATGAGAAATTTTACTTAAATAATATGATAATTATTTAAAGACCTAATTTCTTAGGGATTTAATCATGATGATTTAAACACTAAAACACTTGTTTATCTGAGAAATCCTCTTAGTAAATAGGTTTACTAAGACACTAAAAGGAAGTAGATATAGTATAACTATAGTACAGCTACAATAATTGTATGGGACTTACTGTCCTTTCCATACAAATATATATCTAATCTATATCTTTCACATTATAATTATGCAATATATTGCCTCTACTACTACAACATACACAAATAGGACTTATTGTCCTTCCTATATACCTATATATAATAATTGACCTGGCACTTTAATGTGTAATTTATCAGTACTTATGACAACAACCAATTAGGACTTATAGTCCTCTCTATAAAGCTACATAATTATTTAATCTGATTATTTCACAATGTGATTAATCAAACCTCTACAAATATTACAAAAAATCTCTATTACTCTCAACACAATAATAGCTTGTTGGACTTAGTGTCCTCAAACTTATAGAAAACCCAACTGGTTATTTCACGAGACGTTGTTAACTTGTGATTAATCAGTGTCTTTTAAAGGACTTATAGTTCCTTTAGATATATCTCTCTGAATAATTAATTGGTTAATTCACAATGTGGTTAATCAACAATAATATTATATATAATTTTAAAGGACTTATAGTTCATTCAATAGCACTCATTACTTTTAGTAGCTCTCGACCTATGGGTTGGACTACTCGTTCTTAGGCTCCGGCCTAATCAACAGATTTAACTTGAACCTTGAGTATTCTTGGTATTAAGTAAATAATATTAAATTGACAATGCTATGTTATGATATAGCAATTATCAACATTATATGGTTTGGCCAATTCCAGGGTGTGGAAGGTATCCCCTATCACACAAATCTTCATCTCTATCGGACTGTCTTCACAGGTGATCTCTAATGTCACATTATAGGGCCGAAGGGTTATGTCCCATCAAAGTAGGTTCTGGTGTCTGGGTGATCTCGCTTCTTGGTCTGATCTCTTGTGGAGCCGAAGGGAAACCCCCATTGAGTAAGCTCGTAACAGGGTGACGCTGGGAAACAGTTTCGTACTGTTAGTGGGTGATCTCTATGTCGCCATATAGGACTGAAAGGGTCATCGCCCATGAGTAAGCTCTCGTGTCGGAGTGATCCTGGGATTTCAGTTCCGATCCGTTTGCCTCTGGCAAACACTAATTTATACTGGAAGCATCGTGGGGCTGGTGGAGCCACTGTAATGTTGAAGTAAATGTACTTATGTTTGGTTTGGAACTGAGAATACTCATTCCCTTATTACCATCAGAGTGCATTAATAAATAGTAATACCCTTCCCTACCTTTTAGGAGGAAGAGTTATAGATAGTTGGAAAGTCTTCCACTGGTCCGGGCGTGTGAGGGGCCCGACCGCTCCCCCATTTTTTTTATTATTACAGTTATTCTGTAATTTGCTATTAAATTAACATAACTTCCTAGTTACACGAATAATGAGTGTAATTCATTAATTATTTTTAATCCTTAAAGCTTTATCAATTATCTTCATTATTTAACTCCTATCATATACCAATTAAAGAACCTTTTGGTTATTACACACACAACGGGTCCTACATTACTAGACGATCACACATTTATTTATCTGGCCAAATGATCAAGTGTTCTACTAAAGATCTGTTCAATATTATGTTTTATTGTAAGGGTTTATATGATTCATAGGATATTTGGGGTGTATAAGGCAATATAGGTATGGGGTTATATTGAGGGTGTTAGGCCATTCTTTAGGGTGAATTTTCATTAGATTTTCATAGATTTCATTAGGTTAAGCCTTCGTAGGCTTTTCTTAGGCTTTGTAGGTTTTCCACGTGTAGTTTAGTTTAGAGGGTGCTTATTATAAGGGGTGCAAAGGGGGGGGACCATCACAATTGGTGCCGTAGTGACCAGGATATAATTGGTTCATGGCTATTTACATATCAGATCAATAAGAACACTTGGTCACAATTGGAGCTTGTGACTTCAGGGATTGGTTATTAAAATATGAAGGAGTATAAAGTTAAACAGTAATATCTGCTAATAGTATAACTCAAAACCAACTTTGATGATTATGACTAAATAATTATACCGTCATAGATCTAGGATTTGGACCTAATTTTATGATTTCTATGTCTATAGGTAAATAGCCTATTTTACTGTTATCTCATGTTCTTAGGATTTAATTTATCAAATTCATTAAGTGGTTACCTATTGGAGTCAATTATACAACAAATTTACATGATTTGGTTTATATTTTATTTTACTCTATATCAATTGAGTAAATAATATTAAGTATTACACTAATAGGTACATAACAATAGTAGTGAGGATAGCTTACTAGGTTATATTCAGTTCACATTGATCTAATTTTATGCTACAGGACACATTTATTATTCTTTTGCTTCATTAATTCTCAATACTTACTGAACTATTAATTTAACATTATATTAATTTTATAGACAATAATTATGCTATAATAACTTATACAAAAAAATTGATTAATTTCATTTTATTATCAAAGAAATAATTTAAGATGAATTAATGACATTATTTATTTCTGAGGAAATAACCAATTGACTTTTATTTCATAAATTTTTATGATGCAGCGACATTGATTATATATAAAAAAAAAAAATTAAATAATTATGATTTAATTTTAATTTAGGATGTTTAAATAGCTTATACAATGTTTTATAGGGATTTCAAATTGAGAGTTAGACGTTTCATAAAATATCATTAGGGTTAGTTGGGGCCTTTAGTTACCTTATTTAATTATCTAAATATGAAAATTTTATTAAATGTTTTCATATTGTTAAATTTAATTCCAACAATTAATTAGGATGCTATTATAAATATATTATTTAGGGTTCTTCACATAATTTCTTTATTGCATTTTACAATTATATTTCAGATTCTATTTGATTATTCACTTATTTCGAATTAGACATTTTATAAAAAAAAAAAAAAACTTTATATTTATATCAAAGGGGGATTTTGTAGGCTGTTTATACGCGTGCATTCTCTACATGCCTAAGCATTCTACAAATTTAGATGTTGCGCACACTTAGTTTATTTAGTCCTTTATAGTTGCACATAACATAAAATATTTGTATCTTTTTAAATGATAATTTATTGTACAAAATAAATTAATTGATGTATCTAATATAGTTGGTTGTATTTATGTTGGGTTTGCTGTTGTGATCTTTTGGAGGAGGCGATGGGGGGTGTCTATCTACCTATCTAATGGGGTTACATAATATTTTATTATAAAACTTATTGATCATGTCATTTCTGAGAGTATTAAGAAATAGTCATTGGTAATTTAAGTATATTAAAGGAATTTCTTATAATAAGAGTTTTAAACTATGGGGCCCGTTTGTATTATTTTATGCAACATATTTATAGGAGTCTTAAAATTGGGGGGCCGTGCAAAATTTGTCAGACAGATAAGAGTTTTAAGCTATGGGGCCGTTTGTATTATTTTATGCAACATATTTATAGGAGTCTTAAAATTGGGGGGCCGTGCAGGAATTGTCAGACAGGGGGCCGGTGGTGATAAATTATTATTTATATAAGCTTTACTTCTATGATTAAAATTAATAAATAAAAATTAAATTTATTTGAATTTTGTTAGGGACTATTATTTTTTTTATTCAATGAACACTAGGTTATTTCTTAGATGAAATATGTATTTATGGTTACTAAAGAATACATCCAAGTTGAGATTATAAGCAAACTGATTTATTTATCTTTTACCCTCAGTACACCAAATATCAACTGTCATTAGACATCTCTAATAAATACATAACATACCTTTCTCTCATATTGATTGGTTTACAAAGCAATGATTCTATCTTACAAATCAATAGATACATAATAATATTTTAAAATTGACAATCACAATAATGAAATGCTAATTAGGTATTCCTATAATATCTGGCCATAAATCAGGCGGTGGAATCAATATGGGGGAATCCGGTGTCAATTCTGAATCTGAATCCTTCATGAGTTGACTGTCTAAGTCAGATGGGCGACATGTCATGTCAGATGGTCTGGCCAAGATTTGGTCAGTATGGCGGCGATGTAACTCTCCATCTTCCGTTTTCACCCTGTAAGTCGTTGGCCCCTCTATTGTTTCCACAGTGGCTCTGCGCCACTTTTCTCCTGGCCCGTACATGTGTATCAGTACTGGTTGATTCACTGCAAAGGTACGGGTGGGCCGGTGCTGTGCCGCCACTTCACGTTGCTGGTCAGTACGGCTAGGCATCGAATCAGGGTGTAAGACTGACACTGCCGTTCTATATCTCCGCCCATTGAGTAGTTCCGCTGGTGTTTTGTTAGTGGAACTATTAGGAACTGTCCTTAAATAATATAAAACTTTACACAATTTTTGTTGCCATTGTATATTCTGGCTTTCAAGTTTCTTCATTTTATTTTTAAATGTTTGAATTGCACGTTCTATCTGCCCCTTCGTTTCTGGGTGGTAAGGTGGGGAATACAAATGTTTAATTCCATTCTTTTTTAAGAAATTATTGAATTCTTCCGAGGTAAATGCGCGTCCATTATCTGAAACTAGTACGTCAGGCAGTCCTTGTGAAGTAAAAATTTTCCTTAGCACCGTTATCACTGTCCCGCTATTCATCGTTGGTACTATTTCGGCTTCAAACCATTTGCTATAGCTATCTACTAGAACTAAAAATGTTTTCCCCTGGAAGGGGCCAGCAAAGTCCACATGTACACGACTCCAGGGTTTCTCTAAAACAATCCAAGATTGAGGATCCTTTGGTGGTTTATTTCTTACTAATTGGCACTGTTGGCAGGCGGCTACAATATTCTCAATTTGACGATCCATGTCTACCCACCATACATAGCCTCTTGCATACGCTTTCGTCTGGACCATGCCCGCGTGTGGAGCATGTAACAACTTCAAAACCTTTTCCCGCAAGGATGCCGGTATTATTACTCTGTTACACCACAATAAACAGTCATTATTATGCGAAAGAGCTTCTCTTCTTGTCCAATAAGCTTGTAAACTTGAATCTGTATTCTTACGGGGCCAGCCGTGTAAAACATGGAACATTACTTTTTGCAGCACCATATCCTTTTTAGTTTCTTCAGCAATTTTGCCAGCATTTAGCTGCCACCCGCTCAACTGCTCTTCTAACAGAAGCAGATCACCAGACACTTCCTTCTTTACACTGGATGTATCCGTAGCGGTCCATCTGCTTAAAGCATCCGCGTTGCCAATTAGTTTCCCAGGTCTGTATTTTAGCTTATAGTCATAGCAAGCGAGTTTAAGTGACCAGCGTAACATTCTAGGCGAAATCTGTTCAGGTATAGGCTTTGCAGGATTGAATAACCCTACCAGTGGCTTGTGATCTGTAACTATACAAAATTTACGACCTGCTAAAAATTCGTGAAATTTGGTCAATCCAAATATAATTGCTAGTGCCTCCTTATCAATTTGCCCGTATCGTCTCTCATGAGCTTGCAATGTGCGCGAGGCCATCATTACAGGTCTTTCAGATCCGTCTTTCATCACATGGGCAATAATCGCTCCTACTCCGTATTCTGAAGAATCACAGATGAGAAGCAATTCTTTTTGTAAATCATATCCCACCAATGTAAGATCCGATGACAATAAACGTTTTGCCTCATTGAAAGCTTTCTGTTCTTTCTCTCCCCAGCTCCAGGGTCTCTTTGATTCTAATAGTCTATATAATGGCTCTAATATAGTGCTCTTATCAGGTAAAAATTTCTCATAGAAATTGTATAAGCCCAAAAAGGCTCGCAACGTCTCTTTGTTAGTTGGAGCCGGTTTTTCTTGAATTTCCTTTACCTTCGTAGGTGCCGGGTGGAGGCCTTCCGCATCAATCATGTGGCCTAAGAACGTAATGCTGTTCGCCGCAAAAACACACTTTTTTTTCATTCAATCGAAATCCCATTTCTTGCAATTTACCTAGCACTTCTCTAAGTCTGTGATTGTGTTCTTCAATGGTGGATCCCGTTACCGCCACATCGTCCAATAAACAGGCGACGCCCTCCATACCTGCAAGCGCCGTTGACATCAGGCGTTGAAAAACAGCTGGCGCCGCATTGACACCGAACGGTAAACGGTTCATTCTCATTAAACCAATTGGAGTGTTGAGTGTTAACAGCATTGCAGTCGCATCATCAACTTTTAACTGTGTATACGCTTGCTTTAAATCTAATTTACTGAATATTCTACCCCCACTCAACCTTACAAACGCTTCATTTGCCGTTGGAAGGGGGTACGTGTCTGTATCTATCGCGGTGTTTACTGTCACACGATAATCGCCACACATCCGTATTGTCCCGTCATCTTTCATCACTGGTGTCAATGGTGTTGCCCACTGCGAATATCGAATAGGTGTTAGCACGCCCTCTATTACCATCTTATTCAGTTCTTCAATCACTTTCTGTTTGAGTGGGTATGGTACCGCGCGAGCCTTTAAGAAACGCGGCGTGGCGTCTTTCCGTAAGTGTAACGATACTTTAGGGCCCTTGTACTCCCCCAATCCTTCTTTAAATAATTCAGGAAATTCCCTTTTATAAAGTATTATCTCCTCTTCCGACCAGCACAAACCAGACACTTGAAGTCCTAGTGTTTGGAACCAATTCCTGCCTAACAGATTTGGACCATTTCCTGACACTACTACAAGTTCACACTGTGCTTCCTTGTTCGCTAATATAACCCGCACATTTGCTACTCCCAACACTTTTATTGGATCTCTAGTCCACGTCACCAACTTCAAAGTAGTGGCTCTTAACGGTGGAGGTGTCGACCAGAGCTTCTTATATGTCTCCTCCGACATAATGGTCCGTGATGCCCCCGAGTCTACTTCCATTAATAATTTTACACCGTCTATTATGACCTCTGCCGTTATTGGTGGTGTATAATTATCAGTACAAACATAGATCCCCATCATTTCTTCTACTGCCGTATCACCACTTCTGCTACATTCCCCCGTCTCGTTAACCTGGTGCATGCGGCCCGGTTTTTTATCACATGCCGCCGCGATGTGTCCAAACTTCTTACAATAGAAACATTTTGCTTTCCAAAATGAACAACGTTCGCCTGGCTTATGACCGCGTGTACACCGTCGACATTCATTAGATTTTACAATGCCAATGTCCATAGGTTCACAATCGGTGACGTTTAACGGAGTTTGCTTTGATTCGCTAGACGTACTGGCAGGGTACAAATCAGGGAATGTCACTTGATAGTCCAGACATGTTTGTAGTGCAACTTCATAAGTTATTTTCTTCTTTTTCAATAAGTCGCGTCGTAAGCGATCATCCCGCACCCCCAGCACTAGTCGGTCTCTCAACTGGCGTTCCAAATCTATAAAATTGCACTTAGCTCCGAGCTGGCTGATGGCCGCCACATAGTCCTGTACACTTTCTCCCTGTAACTGTTGTCGTTTGTGAAATTTTCCCGCCTGTAGAATTTCGTTAACTTCTGGTTCGAAAAACCTATCTAGAACCCTCAAAATTTCCACTAAAGGTACTTCTGTAGGCCTTTTTGGAACTAAAAGCGATGCAATTAATGCAAAAGTGTCTTTTCCACATTGAGAAAGGAACAGTGATCGGCCCCTATTGAGGTTATCTTCACCGACGCCCGCCGCGTCGAGCGCGCACATTAACTGTTCCTTATAATCACACCACTTATCAGTCTTTGGGTTGAATTGTCCAGGAAACACAATATTTGAAACAGTTGCTGCCATTTTCACAATAAACAATTTTTATTTACTTCGTCGCCAATAAAGAATACATCCAAGTTGAGATTATAAGCAAACTGATTTATTTATCTTTTACCCTCAGTACACCAAATATCAACTGTCATTAGACATCTCTAATAAATACATAACAGTTACTTAGACGCTTCATAAAGTTTTATTCGTATTGTTTAAATTTATTTTAACAAATTTATTTGAACATCTTCATTTTAATATTTAATTAACTTGGGATTTTATCTAATCATTTATTTACACTTAGACAATTATTTTAGGATTAGTTTTTTCCATTTATTACATTTTAATGCTTAGATTCTTTCACTTCATTTCGATTTAGGTTTTCTACTTAGGCTCTCGTTTGTTGATTCGTTATACTCATACATTTAGGCTTTTATTATGAGCTTCCATTTAGATGTTTTAACTCGTATCTTTTAAATAGATACTTTATCTAAATTTACTGATACAAATAACGTATCTATTAGGTTCTTTACTTGAAGCTCTTCACATATTTAGGTTTTATACATTTAGACTCCTCACATACTTAGGCTTTTCATACATTTAGGTTTTATAGACTCCTTTACACACATTTAGGATTGTATTCATTTATGCTGTTTATGACATTGTAATTACATGCATTGAATTTATTACATATAAATAAACGAGTATAAAAATTTTAATTATAAAATTTAATGGATTCACTCTATCATTACAGCGTATGCAAATTAATTATAAATAATTATTTACAAATCTATTCATAAATAAATATTATGCTTAATTATTAATATATTGCGTAGAAATTTTAAGGCTATTCATACACATAACATTCAACAACATATAACTTCGGGTTTAAAGATCTTTTTAATACTTTTATTGTTTTGAGTCTTAAGAATGTCAGAGTGTTAGGCTAGTATCGATGAATCAATGAAAAATTTAAATGATGATCTTAAGCTCTGTAAAGTTAAATTATATACACATATGTGAAGTACATTTTTAGGGTTGAAAAAAAAAAATTGTAACAATAAACTTATCTTGTTGTAATTATCAATCCGGTAAACTCCTTGATAATTAGGGGGCCGGATGTGACGGTTCGCCTATAGTACAATAGGTTTAATACCATAAGTACATAGAAAAGAAACAGGGGTTCCTATGGGTGACCGCTGCGAAAGCTGAGCTATTTAATATAAACAAACTTTAAAGTCAAGGTTCACAATAGTATACAGAGAAGACGTTACCATATATGAAATATTGACACAGAAGGGAAACTCCTTTGATGTGTTTCCAGAGTGTAGTGGACGTCACAAGAAAATTAAATAAATTAAACAAAAATATATTATATTTTATATTAACCAAATTATAGTTTACCTTTTTCTCATCAGGTGTAAAAAGGATGCATATAACACGGTTTAATAAGGTTTATGAGAGCCTTTAAAGTTTTATAAATTCGATAATCAATTTAATAGAAAATACCAAAATACGTTAACATATAATTAAATTGAATTTAAAGAAAAGTTCAGTTCGAATAATAGGCTAAATCCGATTATTGAAATATCTACCCTTCGGTGACATAATCTATGACGTTACTAGGTGAGAGAAAAAAAAAAAAAAAAAAAGAGGAGGAGACGGCAGATCGGCGGGCGCGCGGGAGTCGGTTTTTAGGAATTGCGCAATAGGAGGAAAAAGAAAGAAAGATGGCGCGGGAGTCGTGTTTTAAGGAACTGCGCAATAAAATAAAAAAATAACTAGGATATAGATCTAGGAGGGACTGGTTCGATGAAGGGGTTTGAGATCTTAGTGTATCACTATCGATTAAGTGTGTGAAATTAATCAATAGAAGACTGGAGAATCCGGTGAGCTTGTTCCATTTATTACTACGTAGTTAGATTTTTGACTGTGATCACAGGCAAAGTCAATACTTAATATTTTTCACAACTATTAAAATACGTATTTAGTCGAGTCCATATACCTATAGGTAATGCGTATATCGTTAAATGCAATCACATTTGAACAAAGTTTACATCAATATAATTTACGTACTTACGTTATTCTACTCATATACAAAATCCAATTATATGGTCGTTTGATAGAACTTCATCAATTTGATTCAATTTCAATTTCATCAATTTTCAAAATACTTATTGAATCAACTATTAAACTATTATAATACTAACTAGTTTCATATCTAGTTATTATAAAGTATTTATTTATTGAGGATAATAGACTAAAGTGACTATGGTCTGGTCTCATTGCTAGGGAAACAGCCATTGATGAGAGAGAGGGGTTATTGAGTGGCGACCCTGTGAATGCAAGTGCGGTGTGGGCTACCTCCATTGTTTGGAGTGACTGTTTTATGTGTATTGTGGGGCCGTTCCTTGTGTCAGTCGGTGGAAATTGCCTGTGTTCAGTCGTGGGTTGGTGATGGTTGAGACGATGATGATGATGAAATATTTGTATTTATTACACTATTACAGTGTTAGTTTGGAATATCTGTTCATACTTAACGCTTCATGGTGAAGTGTTTTTATACCATTACTCGGTCGACCAGATTAATGATTCTTAGTCTATATTTGATTATCCATGACTACATGTGGGGATTTGTTTTACACCAGATGTACAAAGAGACAGCTTAACTGTTGCAAGTGATATTATGTGAATGTAATACTTTTAATACATTATTAATTGTGTTACTAAATAAATTCATGTGACTGTGGGGTGTTTATGGTAAACAAGCCTGTATTGTTTAAATAGATATTTTGTCTTGATTTATTATAAACTTTAATATTGATTTTGTTGTAGTAAGCAAGCTGATAATAACAATTCTGTGTGTATTACTGATTACTAATAATATTTAATTATGCTGATATTATAGGTGTGGATTTATTTCCTAATGGTAATAAAAGTACTGAAAGATTCTCTGACTATAGTTGCTCTTGACTAGGTGTGGGGTTCGGTATGGAATTGGTACTGTATGACACTTGTGAGGCTATGTATTTTGCTCATATTTAGAAAGGAAGTTGTCCTGGCGATGGGGTTTGTATATATGTTGTTTGTTCATGTTATATTGGCTAGACAAGTTCAGACAGGGTTAATATTAGTGAATATTTACTGGATTTATATTTAATATACATGTTTTGAATATTTTATGGGAATAGTATGGAGATATACAAGTAGTAAAATATAATATTAATATTTTATAAATTTAATTATTGAGTTATATGTTTATGTCGGACTGTATCCAAGGAGATATTATCCTATTAATATCAAGTTAGGACAATTACTTTAAATATTAATAAAGCAAACACTAACACTGATTATTCACTTCTTTAATAAATTTACATTAGAGGTTAGGAATCAAATGGATAGCATATTGGGAAATCTTCACCACACATGTATTTGAGGAATGTTCTTGATAATTAGTACTGTATGTATATATTATTGCAAGTACAATTGCAATAAGAATGTTAAACTTCTAATCTTCTGTTCATTCTTGAATTTGAAGTAGGCTTGGCTTACTGATATGAATATAAAACTGCAGCATTACTGGATACTATTAATTATTTCTGGTGTAAACCATGATTATTTATGTCACTGATAATTTAGTTGTATATTACGGTTAATATATGATGATTTTATATTTAATTATATTAAACAAATACAAATAAACAAACTTGCTAGTATTTGTTACGTTGACAGTTGTGATAGATAATCAAAATTCAATTCAATACAGCAATACGTCATTCAATACGTCATTAATGTGACAGATGTCAAACAAAAGGAGATTATACACGTTATGATTCTATATCTAAGTCCATAGAAAATTTATATAATTTTCTGTTATTTTATAATAACTGTAGGGGAAATATTGGAATTATTTATATGAGAAATTTTACTTAAATAATATGATAATTATTTAAAGACCTAATTTCTTAGGGATTTAATCATGATGATTTAAACACTAAAACACTTGTTTATCTGAGAAATCCTCTTAGTAAATAGGTTTACTAAGACACTAAAAGGAAGTAGATATAGTATAACTATAGTACAGCTACAATAATTGTATGGGACTTACTGTCCTTTCCATACAAATATATATCTAATCTATATCTTTCACATTATAATTATGCAATATATTGCCTCTACTACTACAACATACACAAATAGGACTTATTGTCCTTCCTATATACCTATATATAATAATTGACCTGGCACTTTAATGTGTAATTTATCAGTACTTATGACAACAACCAATTAGGACTTATAGTCCTCTTTATAAAGCTACATAATTATTTAATCTGATTATTTCACAATGTGATTAATCAAACCTCTACAAATATTACAAGAGATCTCTATTACTCTCAACACAATAATAGCTTGTTGGACTTAGTGTCCTCAAACTTATAGAAAACCCAACTGGTTATTTCACGAGACGTTGTTAACTTGTGATTAATCAGTGTCTTTTAAAGGACTTATAGTTCCTTTAGATATATCTCTCTGAATAATTAATTGGTTAATTCACAATGTGGTTAATCAACAATAATATTATATATAATTTTAAAGGACTTATAGTTCATTCAATAGCACTCATTACTTTTAGTAGCTCTCGACCTATGGGTTGGACTACTCGTTCTTAGGCTCGGCCTAATCAACAGATTTAACTTGAACCTTGAGTATTCTTGGTATTAAGTAAATAATATTAAATTGACAATGCTATGTTATGATATAGCAATTATCAACATTATATGGTTTGGCCAATTCCAGGGTGTGGAAGGTATCCCCTATCACACAAATCTTCATCTCTATCGGACTGTCTTCACAGGTGATCTCTAATGTCACATTATAGGGCCGAAGGGTTATGTCCCATCAAAGTAGGTTCTGGTGTCTGGGTGATCTCGCTTCTTGGTCTGATCTCTTGTGGAGCCGAAGGGAAACCCCCATTGAGTAAGCTCGTAACAGGGTGACGCTGGGAAACAGTTTCGTACTGTTAGTGGGTGATC